GTAAGGCATGTTCACACATTTGCGACTGCTTGCGGACAGATAGGCTAAAAACCGGTATTTAAGCCTCTTCTGACTGCTTGCGACGGTCTGTTTAGCAGTTGTAAGCAAGCACAAGAGGCTTAAAACCGGGTTTTAGCTTCTCCGTTTGTAAGGAGTCGCAAGTGTGTGTACCAGCCTTCACACTGCATTGTGATTGTTCAAGTAATTAGGTACCATAGAGGACTTAACTCCATTTGTTGCAGTTTTCGATAATTTTGCATCACTGCCTGGAGGGCACGTCATGACATTTCCTCATTCATGAATCTCCTAAAAAAAGATTATGTGCTGATGTCTTTACAGCAGCCAACAAATGAAGTGGGAAGCACGTGGTCAAGGAAGTAGATGAAAAACAAGCGCAAGCTTTCTGAGTTGTTGCACCGCCTTGCCGACGGAAATATTTATCCGTGTGTTTTTGCAAGCAAGGCCAAGACTGAAGTGAATCTTTGGTTTGGGCTATTCGGTCCATGACTTCTTAAAATGTGTTAAAAGGCCTAAAAAAGCCAGGAATGCAGAAATCACAAGCGCCCGTCCGAGTTGTTGGTTCCTGAGTTTTGGCGCTTTATAGTACATTTGAAAGGCTATCTTTGGTCTCTGAATAATCATCGTTTTGTAAAGAGCTGTTCTACGTTGAAAGAATACCAATAAAGTCTACGGAATCGTAACTTATATAATTTTTTCTTCTTCTTAGTTTCATTAATATTTTGTATGGGCGTGAACGAACGATAAAAATAAAAGCTTGCCGATTATGAAGCCACCTAGAATTGTAAAACTTTTATCTAGAAAAACAAAACAAAAAAGCCATTTTTGCTCTTAATTATGAGAAAAACCAGTTTAGCGGCCTAACACATTAAAAACACCACAAAAAAAGGGGGGCACAAAGTAGAAGGACACAGGACATACGCTGACCCTCTTATACTTTGTGTCCCATCCTTCTTGCACTGTTTTTAATCGGTCGTTCAACCAACCAGCTTAGCAAGCTATCCTGTTACGGCATAATATAGTTTTGAGCTTTACATGCAGTGTGAAACTAGCGGCTGCATGGTGACTGGATGAAGTAAGAAAGCTTTTTTTAAACTGGGCTAAAACGCAAGGGGTGTTATATGGGAACGTTATGATTAAACATAATAAACGAAAAATGTAAAACAAATTGAATGAGACTGATTCACATGAAAAAATGTTTAAACGTCAAGGGTTACAATCAAAACAATGTTTTGAGAAAACAGACCAGACGGATTGAAACACGAAGGACATCTGAGAATGTGTTGCAACAAGAAATGTTTAAAAGAGGGGTAAAGGCGAATGGGTTGAAACTAGAATGGTTTATACGCGAGTGGTTAAAACGAGAAAGGTTGAAATGCGAATGAGTGGAAATGAGAAAGGTTAAAATGCTACGGGTATTTTACTAATGGGTGCAAACGAGAATTGGTTCAAATGAGAATAAATGTAAATTAGAAATATAAAAATACCAAGGGAGTCTTTGAAAATGGGTTCAAATGAGAAAGGTTTAAATGAGAATGGGTTACTTCGAAATACATCTGCCGAGTATGGCCACCGTGCTGAGTATGACCGACGTTCTGAGTATTACAATTTAACAAAGATATACGGACATCTGATGCTATCGCATCTCGACGCATCCCGGTACGTACCTCATCCAAATCGATAAGGGCAGGGGTGAGGTGTGGGGATTGAAGCAAAGTCTGCGAACGACCTCCTCTTTTTCCATAAGACATCGTCAAGGGCAGATGGCGTCAACTCAGCAATAGGACCCGAGAAAGTTACCGTGCGTCCTTCGACTCGTTGATTGGAGACGAAGACCAGCAAAACGCTGACGCAGCGTTCGTAACCAATCGTTGACTTCGCTGGATCACACTGTGATGACATCAGGTATCTAGAGCCCAGGCGTTGTTTATTATAGGTGGTGTTGATTGAACTTGAACCCAGGATTTCTGAATTCTACAGCGCGAGCTTTTGTTCCACGTGCTCCGAGCAGAAGTGCGTTAACACAGTCGGTCACCTATGGTACCCCCATATACTTTCTTGCTTCATAACGTTTACAAAAATGAGCTATCAAGAGACTATAACTATGGTCTTAAAATAGAAGTGGTATGCTGTCCCGTCTTTCCAATCACCGGCATGTCGAAAAAAATGCCATCAGCAAAGCGTGAAGTTTTGATAGACTTGTCAAATAGAACAAGTCCTCATAGGCTATCTTGAACACGGGAACACTAAAAGCGTGAGTATACTGTGATCTAGTCTAGCCGATCAAGATCTGTTTACGTCAAACGTGCTTTGTCTCATCGGGAAAGGGGGGGGGGAGTCTAGAAATATGATAAACCAAAAAGTGAAGCTGCCGATTCACTCGATGCTGATTGGCCGAGTCAGGTGATAACACCACGCCCCTCAGCTCCACTCTGATTGGCTGGTTTAGGTTCTGTAAGAGTGACAGAGATTCAAAACCCGGGTTCGCGCCGGTATCTGCATTCAGGGATTTGCAATCGAGTGTACTTGCCACGAGTCAAGCCAGTCGCTAAATCAACCAACGAAGAGTGTCGAGAGCGTATACATCAATCGCAGAGGAGTGGGAGCGAAACCACACGTTTGCATGCAACACAATTGCCCAGCAATGTTGTTCTAAAAAATGTTTGTGCGTCTACTTTCACGCACAACACTCTGAGAGCCAATCACCGCAACTTACGGAGGCAGCCCAGCGAATTACACTGCCGAAAGATATGTTTAGACCAAAAAACGCAGACTGAGTTGTGACATTAAGCAATGGAAAATGTCACGCTTGCATTGCTTAATGTCACAACTCAGACTGCGTTTTTTGGTCTAAACATATGTTTCGGCATCGTCATTCACTGAGCTGCCTCTGCAAACTGCGGTGATCGGCTCTTCGAGTGTTGTGCGGGAAAGCAGATGCACGGGCTTTTTTTTAGAGTGTATGTTTTTGTCGCTGAACGTACACTATATTCCGCCCTAAACGAAAAACGGCGGGCAGTTTTCCTTTCACCCGATGAATACAGACCTCTTGAAAATTTACGCCCTCCTACGGTCTATGTGAAAACACTTCAAAGTAGCGTGCGCCATAAACACCTTAAAAAAGACAAGTCTATCAATTGTATAACGTTTCTTGGAAGTGAGTACTATATCAGATATAGGCTCGCCAGCTTGTTGGCGCTTTTTGCTCACGCCACTTTGCAGTATTGTGAGATAGACATTAAAGGACGTAATTTTTGAAGGGGCCTATACTGGACACCAACGTTTCTGTGCTATATTGTCAAGGGCTCAAGGCTAATGTAATTTCCCCAACGCTGCGATTTTATGATATCTGTTTGCGCAAGCGCACGCGAAGTAGACGCAAGACTAAGTCACGTGCTCCCGCAGCAGTGCAGCACGGTAGAAACTAAGCGAGCCTTGACGAAGTAGTAAACGAAGGTGACGCGAAGTACGCTAGATTCATAGAGTTTATTAATCGCAACACATGGTTCTGTAAAAATGGTTCTTTTATGGTTTTGGTGCCTTTTTATCATAAATATTTCAACATGTTTGAATGTAAAGGCAGGCTATAGTCTAATCTGCAGCTGAGTATTTCGACCCATCATTTCATGAAATACCGTTTTATCAGATGCCGTTTCATCGAACATCGTTTCATCGAATGTCTTTTGAGACAGAACTACAGAGATATCTTTCACTTCAGAAAAAAAAAATAGTACACGTTACTTCTTAATTGCAGGAGACTGTAAACGGTTTATCGAAAATGAAAAAACTTCCAAGGCCGAAATGTTTTTTGTTACAAAAAATAACTTATTGTTCTGCTGTCATAGAGGACGTTAAAGCCGGGGCCACACTAGTCACACATCGTACAAAAGACGATCTGCCACCACGAGTCGCCGCAATATCCGTGCCAAGTTTTCTCCTTGAACGCATTGCCATGCGGCACTCAAAACACGGATGTCACGGTTACTCCCACGCGAATATGTAGGCAAACTGTCGTTTGTATGATGTATAAGCAGTGTGACCCCTGTTTAAAAGTTCAGAAGCCAGTCACAATGGATGACATACCGCACCTTCAGCGACATAACAATATACACGAATCAAAAACTGCCTCTTGTCAGGGAATGGCAGCAAGCTTCACACTCAAGCGATGAAAAGGGCAGATCTAGAAAAGCCCGAAAACAGGTGGAAAGGTCACCCGATATCAAACCTCGTATTTTTCTCCTCAGGGCTTGCGGAAGTAAATCATTCGACATGAAGATGTATTGTTCGACGATTTTAGCAACACGCCTGGCGATACTTTGATTCTTATAGCGTAAAAAATAATAAAAAACAAATAACAGAAACGAGAAATTGGCTTGACTGAACGCCTCGCGGTTCAACTGAGCGGTTGTTCGCGTGTCTCAGGCTCGCGGGTGGAGACATCCTTTGTTGCACTGAGTTACACAAACGAGTGCCGCAGCATATATTAAAGTACAATTCGGGAGATGAAAACATTGAAAACAGCGATGAAGGCATTCGATGAGACGGCTTTCGGCAGTCGGATGAAACGACGTTCGATGGAACGCCGCATGATGGAACGTCATGCGATGAAAAGTCGTTTGATCGAACGGTAGACGACAATAGCAAGTCATGTGACATCAGCAAAAACCATGTATTGTGATTTTCATTGGTGTCTGACGCCATAAAGGCCGTCCCGGACGTACACTGTGTCAATAGTTCTGTGTGAATGCCATCAACGAATCAATCCTCAACTTAAAACCTGCAATTCATTACAGTATCCCTTTAACCATATCCTCCAGAGAATAGGTACTGCTTAATTGTCAATTTCAACAGCAGTTATAATACTACCAATATGAGCAAAGGTGAGGTTAAGCTCGACTATCTCACAAACTACATATAGGACTGAAGAAAAAAATATACCCTAAAATTTGTACGTGAATGATTTCAGACGGATTCATGAAAGGTAGAAATGCAACACCAGCTGTTTATTATTTGCCAATGGTATGTACACACGCCGAAAAAGGACGCCACCCACTGTTCGGTTTTCAGCTCTAACATTTTCTCAAGAAAAAATGGACAATAATTTTTGATCTCAGTTTTCAAATATTTATAGAAATTGAAAATGTACAAGAAACTCTTAGATCGGCTCTTGACATACTCTTACTAAAAATACCACTGGAGGCGAATAAAGCATTATGGAACCATTTACTATCACTCTTCATAAGGTTAGCATTGTTTAGACATACAGAAATAGGACTTTCAGGTTTTTAACAACGAAGGGATAAGCTATCAGCATTTATAGCTTGATAAATACCGGGACCAAAGCCAGACGTACCGGCGTCGCTTTGGACGCTCGAAGTTGTGATAATCACACTAAAGTTGCATTCACACTGGAGTTCGAATTGCAACCGCGAACCAGATCCGCTCGTTTTCATCGTCAAACGCGCGTGAAATTCTATTGAATCTTTAAGCAACCGCGTTCGCAAGCGCTTTGCGAACGCGGTTCAGCCGCCAGTGTGAATACATCGTAAGAGAACGGTCACCAACATATAGGCTCGCAGTCGATACAAGTCCAACTTTCATAGGTATCGTACACAGCAAGAAAACAAACGAAGTACGCGAAACTTTTATTTTTGATAGGACTGAGAACGATCAGACACAAAAACCATAGAGCACTAGCAACGCTTGTTGGTGAAAAAAAAAAGAAGAGAAAAAAAGTAAGCGTTTTTTTGCTTGCCGTTAGAGTTTTTCTGAACATGATTAAGTGTGAAACGAAAACTGGCATCTTATGGGTTATAAAATAAAGCAACATAATTAAGCTCTAAATGCAAAACGTTCAGACCAGGCACACCTACCGCGGTCATGACTGTCTTCTGTTTTGCCAAAGTGTATATAATATATTGGCTCGCATTTAAACGGAGACCGCGAACGGGCGCTCGTACATTCTCACTCGAACGTACATACGGCAGTTCCTCTACAACGACGAGGAAGTTAATGTACACAAAGAGGTATTTACAAACTCCAAGGAACGACTGAAAGAAAGTGCTGTCAAAACCAGTTGGACCTGATCCCTGCCAAAGGCGACTGCAGGGGGCAACGCAGGTCAGTTTCTCAGAAGGAAGAAAGTAAATGCGCCTTCGTAAACCCTCACGGTGGCTCTTCGAATCTCACGCAAGCGCAGAACTATCCTCGGCGCTCGGCGTACAGAACCTCGTCTTGAACGAATGGTAACCTCTTTGAAGTGGTTCCCAGAACGAAAGAAAAATATTAAAACTTATAATTTCAACTGGGATGACTTTTACTTCAAAAGACTACAAAATCCCTGGACGTGACACCATTCGCTTTTAAAGTGGGGGTGTCAAACGCTTTGTATCAGCGCCTTATACATTCTTAGGGAATACTGAGGCTCCTGTTCCGTTCTACTGTGTTTAGCTGCTTTTCTTCCTAAGAGACATTTTGTTTTTTAATTGGAGCAAAATTAAGGCAGTATGGAACCATTTCTGAAGAGGCTAAATGTCACACAAAGCCTATTAAATGAGGACTTAATCCTATTATTGAGGTGACATCGGAAGCTTTGAAACTAGATGGAGACCACAACAATTTTACCTTCACTGAACGCCAGCGATGCGACGCGCGTATCGCCGTATTGATATGCGAGTTACCATTAAACTAAATGCTCTTGCGGCACCTTTCAATAACGTTTTAGTCGAACATGGACGTGCCACAGATTCTTCGCAACTGACACGTGCAGAAAGCAAACGTCCCCAACACAACGCCACATAAAAAATGAGAACGACAGGGCGGTATTTCAGTTGTCCCGCATCCAACGTGAGCTTCTCCTCATCGTTAACAGGTCGGCGTCTCGTCAATTTGGAGCGTGCAGGCGCCGTCAAAGCACGGCCAAAGTCAACGATCGCGTGCCGCAGAGACTGCGGGGGTTTGAAAGAGGCTCCCTGCCGTTCACATCTTGTCCGAAACTATATACATTTCTAAACAAAGTTGCCTACTTCTTGGGGCTCATATTCGTCAGAACGTAGTAATAACCGTAATGTAGTTTCCCAGTCAGCAAAGGTCGTCGGTGCACACTCCATTCACAGGCGTGTTCGTTCTGGACCCGCAATTAAGAACGTCAGTTCCAACCAACCATCACGCCAAGCGACGTTCTCTGGAAGTCCGCTTTCCGTCGACGCACTCGAGACTTCGGTTGGCTGGCCACGTTTCCACATTAGGGAGCACTTTCAAACCCAAATTTTTACATCGCGGGAGACCTAAGAGCACCCACCGAGCGCGCTTGCAAGTCGCCACTCGCGCACTTTCCGAGCGCCGACGACGAGCTATGATCCCACCAGAAGTGGCCTCCGCTCTCTGCAAGATCTCTCGTGTTTTCGACGTCGTTCTTCGAGCTCAGTGATGCTCCTGAGTCACGTCCGCTCGGCCGGCCGGACGAAGGAAGCGGAGGAAGGGGAAGGGGAATTTTGAGAGAAGCGCCGCGCTGTCATCTCCTCGGCGGTGCGGGAAGTGAATTTGAAGCGATCGATCTTTGATTACGGCGCTTTTACGCGACCTCAGCGGAGCGCCGTGTCTTGGACGGAATCGATGTCTTGGACATCCCTTCCGCCGCGGAGTTCCTCGACTCGGAGGCCGAGGTCCCGCCGACTTCGGGACTGTCCCAGCTGTCGGCTGATCGATCCGGCAGGAACTTTTCGCGCTCCAGTTGCAGCACCAGGTCGTCCACGTCGGTTCCCGCGGGCCGAAGTCTGCGGTCCGCGGCCGCCTTGGCCGGCCGTGCGGGTGGCGACGTCGGTCCCTGGATCGGAGGTCTCGTAGGGGCGCTGGTCGGTCGCGTGGAAGCCTTTTCGCCGTCCCCGGAGTCTTGGCCGACGCCGTCGAAGCGAGCTGTGGGGAGAATCAAACGATACGTGAACTTAAGTTGTCAGTCCGTTAAATATGACCATGTTAGTACTTCAGTAACACATGAAGGGCAGTGCCTACACATTTTGGCATGTAAAAGAAATACCTGTCTATTTGGCATTTCCCAAAATCGTCCTAAATGTATACATCCATGGGCCTTCCTTGCGCTCCTCCTTTTTGTGGGTGCAGTAGGGAGGACGCTGAGGGACACATTGCGACGGTTTTGTGAATATACAACGGTCGTTCAAGGTTCACCAGGACTTACTTCCATAATAAATCGCTGAAGAAGCGTGCGCCGGTGGATCTTCCAAGGACGTTAACGTAATCTTTCCCGAATATCCAGCGTTCGGAATGACATGTCGGATGCATTTGCAGCAATTGCAGCTATCGTGGCAGCGATTAATGTTTCTGTAGCTATGGAGCAGAAGTGCGTAATCAAATTTCTGGTGAAGAATTAAGTTAAATCAGCTTAACAAGTTGAGAACACTGCCACCGCATAATAAAAAACAAAAGATGTTACAAGCAGAGTGATGAACCGGATCCGAGCCGAACCGTAATTTTTGACCGAACTGGTACTGAATGGAACCAAAATCATCGACGCCATCCTAAAACGAAACCGGCGCTAAACCGCACAAAAAAAAAAAAAAAAAGAGGAAAAACATGAACGGTAACTGGTTCAAAACGGTTCTCCCCCATAATTTCCTTTTTTTTGTTTTTGTTTTTCTGTTAATATGAAGTACTGAACATTTCAGAACATAAATGATTGGAAATTGTATTTTAGCTATCAGACCATATCGTGAAATACATCATTGCAATGTATGGGAAATGTTGTGAATTCACTGCGTTTTGGAATTGTCACTCTAGTTAATCATGCGACGTCATGTGGCGCATGGTATCATGCGAAGTGGTGACGCGACGTCCTAAGTCAGGTCACGGTGCCAAATGACATAACGTCACGCGACATGGTCGAGTGACGAAAGCGTCAAGTTGTGGTATGACGTGACCTCATTACGTCATTTTACACAACCACTTGACACCTAACATTACTACATCCAAAAGCGATATTGAGATTGTGACGTCACGTGATGTCAGATCTTCGCAACGTGAGCCAAGAGACACCGTGACGTACTCGATTATCATGAGCACTCGCCTCGGGCTCATGACAACCAAAGCCTGAATAAACATTTGAGTAGTGGGTCGTGTTCATTTAAAGATGACAATAGTAAAACTCTAACAATGTACGGAGTTCATCTCCATTCCAAGCGAGTGGCTATGACGGGCACAGGCGCTATGCTATAATCGGCACCATATCACGCGATCACTTGTTCTAATTAAAAATCAAGCGCTGAACGTTTCTTTTTTTTTTTTCTCTTTCAGTAACTGCTTATGCGTGGGGAGAAAAACGCACGCACACTTTGTAGGTTATAAGCCTCAAGGCTTAGTTCTAAGCAGTATTTACTGAAGGTAGAAAACTCATTGCGCTGCCCGTTTAACATGCATACACTCCGCGACACTGTTAGCGGGAACAAGTCATCATAGGTGTTTTCTATTGTTCTCTCAATATTGAAGGACATCATCACAACTACTAATTGCAACTCGAACGCCCTCTAGGTGGCGAAGCGGTAGTTTCAAAATGCACTTTAAAGAAGAAAATAAAAAAAGAAACAACAAACAAACAAAGGTGTCGTTTTACATTACTTTGTTCCATATAATGCATCCCAAAACTTCTCAGGGGTAAAAATCGCCGAAAGGGCCCTAAAAGAACTTCAAACACAAAAGTAAAGCGTCGTCTGCTCGCAGCGATGGGCTTCGCGCACGTAAAAGAGCTGTTGATATTGGGTGAACCGTGAACGCGACACTTCCGCTTGGGACGGTTTGTAGGCGGGAGAGAAACTCAAGTTATAGGACGACCCAATCTTCGATGTCACTGCACATGCACCGATTGCGCGGTAACTTCAAATTCAACTTTTGGAGTTTTTGTTGTTACTTCACAAATACTAAGTTCCCAAGCTTCACATTTTGACGGTAATGTCCAGGAATTGTTTTCAATCGTTTGGATAATAATAATATATATAAAAAAGTATTTGAACTGTCGTGCTCCTTTAAGTCTTCCTATAAAAGGTAGGCCCAAAGGATGTGTCCCAAGATATTTTATGACATTTCGAAAATATTATTGGTTTTAAATCGCGTCGTAATAATATATTTCGAAACATATTTTATGAAATATATTTCATAAACATGGGGACGAAGTGCGCATTGATGATATTATGCACCATATTAAATACTTCAAGTTAGGAAAACAACTAGAATTCAGGTTTTAAAAAGCTGTTACAATCAGTGGCATTTTAGGTGACAAACCTGACTTTTTAAAAGTTTTCTGATTCAGATGAAACATGTTGCCACGTGCATGGCCGAGTGGGAACGTTTCCCAGTACTTCTAGAAGATTCGCGTTGACTCGGAACGCCCAAAAGTTTGACCCTCGAAAATTCTAGTAATCTTCGAGACACCAAGTGTATTAGGTAAGGAGCCCAGCCATGGCCTTGCCGACTCGCTCTCAAACATTCTAGACCGAATGTTTGAGATGCGCAGTGTAGTAGAGGAGGAGCCCAGCGTGGCCTGGTCGACTCATTCTCGTACCCTCGCGCTAGCCAGCTGTGATGCCGACGCCTCGACGCTTGCTGCTGTCGCCTTCGACACTCGCTGATGTTTTCTCGACGCTCATTTTGAATGCGTTAGCATTTGAGTGCTCGTTTTGACTAAGACCCGGCGGTGTCTTTCGTTTGTCAGCGCCGGGGAGAGAGAGAGAAGGGGAGAAAATGGACACTCCCATTGGTCCGAGGCACTGGCGTCAGCACGCATCAACCTCTCCATCTCTCCCCAGAGCTGAGAAACTGGCACTGACAAACGGCGCTGACAAACACCACCGGGTTTTCGTCAAACCGAGCCCTTTCATTTTCGTCAAAGTCATGCGCACATTTGGCGCGGAGCCAGAGAGGAGGACGCACCGCGGCGCGGTGAAATGCGGGCGTGCTCAGTTACTGCTCTGCCGTCGCCGGTTGTTCTTTGCTATGGGTTTCCATAATGGCGGTGCGTTGGCTGCGATTGTGTAGTTAAAACGATGGATGCGAATCCCACCACGAGTGATATGGCTGAGGTTCCTTCCACGAGTGTTAGGGACGTGGTTCTTTCCACGAGTGATATGGGTGACCGTATTCAAAGGCGTTGACATGCTCTGACAGGCAGACTACTAAAAAGGAGTGAAAAAAGCACAGGAAGACCCATTGGTGGATTCTTAGGGAATGAATTAGTATGACCCTTGAGGAGCCACACACGTCCCTGTTCGGGAAACGCTAATACTGACCCCGTAACGAGGCCAAAATGGTGCAACAAAAATAAAGGAAGCAAACGAGAAAGCTAAAACCGAACCCCTAAAAAAGAAAAATGAAGTCCTCAGCGTTAGCGATTCCGAAAGGGGGACGTGTGGCGTTTTCCAATGGTGCTAACGAATTCCCTAAGAATCGACCAATGGATCTTTCTGTAATTTGTTTTTTGGTTTCTGGCACAAGTCTGAAGATTAAACCTTTATTTTGAGTTTTACGCTTGTCGATCCTGTCGCATCCGCCACAATATCACTGAGGTAAACAGCTGAAGGTTTAGTTGTGTAAACACAACGTTTTCAAATTCAACCTATGTTTGGAAAATACTGTGTCTAAGTAAAATTACGCAGTTTCTTGTTTTGTCATTTGAAAATAAATATGGATTGTACAAATGGCAAACAACAACAACAACAACAAAGACTGCTCGTTTTATGGCTGAAGTAGTGCCTACTGTCAAAACAATGCGGACGATTTATGTATGCATGCTTTGAGACAGAAAAGTTTGGGGGCTGGGACGAGAGAAAACAAGTAGCCTGCTGACGAGGTCCCAGTCCATGGTTACTGCACTCGGAAACAAAATAAATGGAACAAATTTACACTGTAGTTACATGCCGCGCAAAAGCAACAGACATATATACATATTTTAAAATACATTAACATGGAAAATTAATAAATGCAGACCTTGAGGAACTTAGTACGTAAAAAAGGAAGTGCTGGCTTGTGCCCTTTGGGCTATGATAGGCTGTTTGTTAAGTATATCTGGCACGATATGTGCAAGTTATTGCACTCCGTAGTAAGTGCAAACTTTGGTGTCTGTATATGACCGCATCTTAAGTTTTATTTTTTTCCACCGTTTTACGATAGGTATTTGAAAAAAAAAATGGTTGATTATGCCTTCATCTGTTCAAACTGGCTCGAACCGATTTGAACTGCTATAACAGTTGGAACGGCTATTCGAACTGTTGACACGACTGGATCCGTTATTTTTGCTCTTTGGAGCTGAACCGGAACTTAACCGAGAGCAGTAAACCAGGACCCGAAGTGAACCAATAAAGATTTCGGTTCGACACTGGTCACGAACAATATGTTAACAGTTTGGCAAAGGATGGTAGAAGGTGACAAACGAACCACATGGATACTGTCATCTGTCTGCAGTCACTCAGGCCATTTCTCTAAGGGTGAAAATAATCAGGGAGCTGATAAAATGACGGCAGTGGTTTCCTGGACGCGTACGGGGAATGCTTTGAAAAGATGGCAGTTCCACGCTCAACATTCTTTTACTTTCCTCTCTAGAAATAAAAATGTTCGTCAATCTTGAACGACGCTTCTATATCCGTGGGTGTCACATAACATTGGGACGTCACGTGACGTCATGGTGCCACATGACATATTTTGTCACGTGATGACACGATGTTATGTTAGGGTGTCAGCTGATGGAGGTCCCAGTGCAACATGAAGTGTCGATATAATCTCACGTCATGGTACACTTGACGTCCCGTAAACACGCGACTTGACGTCCGGTCATGTAATGTCGCTCTGTCACGTGACGTCACCGTGTCATGTCATGGCGTCACCTGACGTGTCTAGTCACGTGCTGTCACACGACT